AACATGTTATGAATATTGTTTTAACAATTCAAAAACAAAAACAAAAAAGAAGAAAGGGCAAGTGGAATTTGCCCAGAACAAAGTGAATTCAACATTCCGTTGGAGGAGATATCAGACAGAATGGCGGCAAGCGTGGAGATAATGGAAGATGAGAATGAGAGAAAGATAAAGCAACTGAAGAAAAAAAAGGAACAAGCTGAACATATCAGACTGAAAGGAATGGAATCACAGGATGAAACAAAAAAAAGAGTGGGGAGTCAAGAGAGTCAGCAAGAAAGGTTTAGCCAGCAGATATCTAAAAACAGAAGGTCTGATGGATCTGAGCTTATGAAAGAGCGACTCGAGAAATGAAATTACGAGTAAAACATGCTGATTCAAAAGAAAAGCACCATTTTGACACGATGGAGATGTTACAAAGGCAGCAAAAAAAATTGGCAGAAAAATTTATCCGTCAAGGGGAGAGCACTGATGCCTATGTATATTCATATATTCATTTTTACACACCGCAAAAACAATCGCTTTCAAAAGAAATCCGTCGGGAAGAACACGAATATTAAATATGCACCTCCGCCGTCCCCCCCCAATTATCGGTCTAGCAACAGCCCTAGCCTGGTGCGCCTTTTTTATTATTTTAATCTGTCTAACGCCAGACGATTTTACTCGTCAAGAAGAAAGCGCTGGCCTAAATGGGTTAATAATTAATTGGATTCTTTCCTGTGTGATTGCCTATCCAAAATATTTATCTACAGAAGGAGGATCAATACGAAAATATTTAGAATGATGTACTACGTTATTTCTGTACATGTAAGTCAAAGCATTTCGCAGTAGTGAGCTAACGATATAGTGTTCCCCATTATGTTCAAACCAACCTTAACGTTCGTTTTAAATTCTAGAAATTTAAATGAACTGATTATATCCCCAAAAATCCATTTCACAGATGTACGGACAGAGCTCGTGGATTTATTGAATGCTTCCATTTCTGAGGTGAGAGCCCTGCTACGTAATGGTGCTTGTAGATGTATCCTCAGGTGATAGGCCTGGTTACCATAAATGCGCATGGTATTTCATGTCGGTGAAAAAGCATGTTGCTCAAGATCTTCAAGGAGAGCAGGGTCTGTCAGCATGTAACCTGAAATTCAGGCTGCCTAAACCGTGGGACACCCACATGTTATTTTTAAACGCATTCATACAATATGATTGACAAGTGTTGTAGATTTCATTGCACGAAAATTAATACGAAAAATATAAAGAAATTTATTTCATGTTGGATTATTTGTTTTTATATTCTGATGAACATGTCTGCAGAGTGTGCATTTTGCTTTTTAATTAAACTTAAAAATTCAAGGTACTCCATTTAATGATTTCTCTATTTAATTTAACCGAGCAAGGACTGAATGCAAATAGTTTTGTTCTCTGCGATCACTTGCTGGACGCGGATATACGATTTCTAACGGGATAACAACAGCAATAACGAAATTATTTATCGTACCATGACGAAGGCGATATAGCTCAGAAAACAACGCCGGTAGCACCTCATAAATAAGACTTTCGCCGAAGCCAGTTGCCAGAACGGCAAAGACATCTTGGGCCTTGGCTGTCAACAACAAGCTTTCCAATACATGACTTTTGCTCTTCTATCAGCGTCGTGCATGTGTCCAAAATTCGTCAAAGATTTTGATAAAGCCCTTTATTGATTTATATTCTGCAATAAAACATATTAAACAAAAGAAATTCGAAGAAATTCGACAATACTATTACGATAATCACAATGGAATTTGATACATGCGTTTGACTTTGTCACATTGATCGAGCTATTTATAAAATATTGTTTATGTGAACCTGCAACCAATCAAAATCTTTTATGATGCTGATCATCCAATCAGATTTCCCGTCCACCAGAAGGACGGGAATCCCACGGTTTAGATTTGTGTCAGGCCCTATTCTAAATTAGGTCCTGAATTTCAGGTTAGTGAGCATGGCGAAGTCGTGTTTTTTCCCCCTCTATAATATCATAAAAAAGGCGCCGTCGAGATGGCTGCTACGGCATTTTATTGCTCGGAGTAGAATTCTATTAATGAAATACTCCAGTGACATTTTACTAAATTTTAAACATTATAACAGTGTAAATAGCAGTTACCTTTCATCCTGTTCATCAGCACTACACTGATGAGGCCCATAAGGCCGAAACGGTACCGTCCGTAGTTAGATATCGCTCTATGGCCTTTAGGTCATATTGAGCGCTCTACATGATGAGCCATGCCGCTTACGCATTGCGCACGCTCACTGCTTGCAGTTTGAACGCTCTGGCATGGTTTTGATGTCCCACATTCGCGAGGCATCAAAGGTAACTGTAAATAGCAGTTACCTTTCATCCTGTTCATCAGCACTATACTGATGAGGCCCATAAGGCCGAAACGGTACCGTCTGTAGTTATATGGTATATCATTTATATCCATATATACCAATATGTAAATACTACACGCACACTATATATATTTTCTATACTTTGTATTTTAATGTTTTGCAGGAACCATCTGAAAAACACTTCTTGTGATGTTGGTTTCCTCAATAAATATTATTATCATTCATTCATTCATTCATCCAACTTCTTAGCAAGGAATGAATAGTTTAATTAAAGTATTTGTAATGCATTACACATGCAGCTGAAGGCTACGAACACTATTCTGAAACAAGTTTAGAAATTTTCGCAGATAAACACGTTAATAATCATACAACCCACATGATATTGCTTTTACTCCCGAAGTATAGTATTTAAAGGATACCCAGGGATAACGATTAGATATTTATGGAACATAGCCCAAGAAAGTTCGTATTATTGACGATTTTTATCAGGTCTAAAATATGGCTATATATAGTTTCACTCCAAATTTTCTAAGTCAAAGCCCTATAGGATTCGACTAATCAGATGTTGTTTTTAAAGTTATATACTTGTTGATCAGCCTATTCTTACCAGGCTAGCCACCCGTACAAAATGCGTACTTAAGCAACGCGCCAATAATCTAAACTTTGGAAAAATGCAACTATATATATACAACTCAATTTGCTTGGTTTAATTGCATTCGCACATTTCAGACGACAATATGACCAGGATCTGATAGTACTAGATAGATATAATGCAGCATGGAGATATTTACAGCTGTTAATGGTTTTACTTGCAGTATTACGTTATCTCCAAATATTGGACTTCAGATAAAGTAATAATTTAAAGCCATCTTTCCATACGAGAATATAATTGTTTTCCAAAAGAAAAATTCAGAAACTTATTTTTTTATTTGAAATTGATCAAATAATAGGGCAGATTTATAATAATCTCAGGTTATTTCATATATATATATATATATATATATATATATATATATATATATATATATATATATATATATATATATATATAAAGCGCAGCCGAGCGTTTTATATCTGATAAAACACGACAACGAGTGTTTTGAATAGCTTAAAATACGACTGCAAAAGAATACTAATTAGGATGAACCATTATATAATCATGCTAATTAGGATGAACAATTATATAATGCCACATGTGTTTTATCAGATATAAAGTCAGTCCACGTGACATATTATGGCTGACATGATTTGCCACAAGGTTTATGAATTATTTATGAGTACTTATATATATATATATATATACACATACGATTACGATTAGCATTTCTTTATATAGCGCAAATTTGCATGTGGATATGATCAAATGCGCTTTACATCCAGTATTACGCTTCCCTAATTACTTACTTAGGCCAGACGAATTTATCTTTACAACAATTGTGATATTACTTTCTTAACTGTGTTTATCCTAACCCATGTAACCTGTCAACTTTCCCAGCATGCGGCAGGAAAATGCAGCACGTGGGGAAAACCCACGACTGTCCCCGTCTTTTCACAGGATGAAGCTCCTATAAATATCGAAGTTTTTTATTTTAAAAACTTCATATTTTTTTTAATTTTGTTTTTCTTTCAATCACTAAATTGCAGGCGAGGTAATAATGAATTTCATGATATTGTAGAAAAGAAATGAATACCTAAAATTCCACGGGAGTATTAAGATGTCCTCATCAGGTGTTAACGACGGCAAATCACATATTCCTACGTTCTGAAACTCTTTCTAATCAGATCCTTAAAACATATTCACGTCAAACGATGTAAAATACACCACATAATATCTATTGAATCATTTATATTCTGACGAGTTTGTGTGCGATTTTCGGGTGCGCGTTTTTGATGAAGCATAACATGTCAATCACAAAAACGAAGCTCTTTGGCCAACATGACGTTCTTTCCGCAAGAGTGTATTGGAATACTACAAACCGGTAGTGTGTGGTGGGAGTCCACTCCAAGAAAATGTTGACCCACTGAAGGTTGATTTTTCTTGTATTTTCAAAAACAACTTTTTTACATACGATATGCATTCCACACAAACTTATCTTTCAGTATAAACACAAGACCTTTGAATAAACACAAGTTAGTCGTCATCTGAACCAAGCTAGTCAATCTTCTCTTTTTTGCTTATGTTCTAAACAAAGGGCACTTTTCTTCAGAGGCTTAGCTAATGGAGGGTAGAGGTGAGGTTGGGGCCAAGAAAAAGCCAAGTTTTTGTCAGTATATTTGAAAAAGTAGCCTACTGAATAATTGAAATACACGAAAGATAAATAATGTAATGGGAGCGTTGTTATGAACTAATACGCCATTCAGTAGTCAGCTTTCAAAGACAACTAAGCACTTGATATTATTGTGTAGTAAAAGTTGACATTTGTTAGTTAGGACTACAAAATTAAGGAAGTCAGATATTTTCAAACGTCTCTCAAATAGGGCAATATAGCATTCATATAAGCTATTATCTTTTCCTACACAGCACTAATATCGTACGTGACTAAAATCGCGTTAGTATCAACAGCAGGACGTTTTAATGAACGATAATTTTTTTCTTCCAGAATATCATTATTGTGAAGCGCCTTCATTGTTGGTATAAATTGCCAGATAATTTGAAGGAAGGTATATATAGGTGTGTTTAAATTTCGACTGACCTCACTTGGCAAGAAGAAAGTATAGCAGAAATTGGAAGAAAGACAGGAGCAAAGCATGTAAGTATATTTATTAGTATTGGACTACTTTACAAAGCATTACTTACGTCTGTTGGGTGAGTATTGACTATTTTTATTGACTACCTTTATTGAGTATATGGACTACTTTTTAGGAATGCAGCAACAGCCCTGCTTTAAGCCTGGTTCACATATGCCTGCAGCATGCCTGCGCTGTGTCATTATGCCTCTAGTTACCGCTGAAATACCGGCAAAGTTGAACTCAAGTCAACTTTCCCGGCCTACCGCCGATGTAACTGTGGCACTGGAGGCAATCGGCGAACAAATATTCACATAATTTACGTTTTAAGCTACCACCGGCATCGTCGCCGGTACGTCGCAGGCACGTCGCAGGCACGTCGCAGGCATTATGTAAACCAGGCTTTACACACTTTGCGCAAAAGCGCTTGTACCAAGAAACCTACACACAATGTAACATGCTGTTAGTTCTCCCAAATATTAACCAAAGGTCAGTTCAGCACAACCTTGGTATCGTAATTCTTACGCTGAAATTCATTACCGCGAATTACCGCGAAACCGATATCGCTGAGTGTTGCTTCTCAATTTACAATAATGGCTGGCAGTGTTGATTCTACTTTTGTCGATAGCCACGCAAAGGGACATATTACAAAATTCCACAAATCTGCAGACCGTAGACGTGGTGTACAAACCACTCCACTCCAGCATCTTCGACCAGCCATTTGGTACAAACATTTGTTATAAATATAAGTGTATACGGGCGCCTGTGGTGGGGGAGAACAGGGGATGCTGAAAATAAATATAAATTTGGGCAAAAAATGCGGGTGGAATAAATTTAAAAACGAGAAATGTGTAACATAATGATCGAAAATGCAAAGATTTCAGATTATAGCGGTAAGTTAAAAAATTCCCTACCCATCCCCCGCCTATAGTTTTCCTCCTCCCGTTCGCCTTATGATTACAAATGTCTTACACGGGAATTGCAGAAACTGACCTAAGGAATTAATTTAATTAATTCAATGTATTAATTTAGGACGTCAAAACAGTCTCAAGTGATCTTTATTATGGTTTTGGTTCTTTATGTGAGCACAAGCGCCATGGAATTGCGGAAAAGAGGTGGCTGTGAGAATATATGCGCTGGAAAACACCGTCCTTGCCTTCGAGCCTGTGTTGGAATTGAAGCATGTGAGCCGTGTCGTCAGGCCATGGCAGCATGTGTTCATGCATGCCCCTCAAGAAAAAGAAATCTGAAAGCATCGACTCGAGCATTTGAAGATTCCTTATTTTGATCACTAATTTTTCCCTTATGACAATTGTCAATGAGAACTTAGTTTTGGAACAAATGACAATAATTATGATATTTCCTGAATAGTTAACGGATTTTCCATCAAATAAAGACTTTAAATAAATATTGACAGTATACTACATTCTGACTGTCTATACTTCTTACTATTTTGCGCTTAATTAAAAAACCACATTTAAAAATCTTTATTTTTAATTTCCCTTCTTGCACTCATAAAGCAAATATTACATGCAGCTCGGGCATTGAGTACATTCGAAGTTTTTTAAACAAACCAGACACAGCACAAGAGTGCGGTGCCTATAAGCATGCGCGAACAAATGCACCCCAATGCAAACGGAATAGGAACATTTTTGGGGATTAAAGCTTTGTTTTGCCGAGAACTGATTTGAGCTGTGCAAATACTGCACCATGTATAACCAAAATAAAATTCGATAACATCTCCTATTCGCGTGATGACCTATATTTTTTTATCAGCTTTCACCTGAAAATGATATTTAAAAAGTCCGTTGTTGAGTGTTAATCCGTTTCTTGGTTTGTATACATCTCGCTGAGAAGCAAATTAACAAATTTCTTAGGTTGAAATTTCATTTGGAACCTCTAAAATAATATTTTTTATATTCTACTTTTTTATATTTTACTATTCATTAATAATTCATGAGCAATTCGGCCAATGATAATCACCTATTTGATCACAAGATGCCAGTTGGATAATTTGGTGAAACTTGATGAAAGTCACTAGTGTTTTCATCAAATATCTTAATTACGCATGCAAAATTACTTGAATATAATTTCTAATTACGTTTTGCTTTATAACAAACATAGTTCGGTGAGTCCGGGATTGGACGCACCGAGAGTCACCGAGCGAAGCGAGGTGAGTTCGGGAAACTTCCAGCCACCCGAGGTAATCCCGGACTCACCGAACCTGCAAGTATGTTTGGTTTTTATCACATGCCATTTCGATAAAAAGTACTGAAGGACTTACGCATTTTACTTTTAGTATATAATTTCGTGTTTGGATAACGAACATTTTAGCCGCCAACATAGCACGCAAACAAACAAACAAACAAACTAAGGCTTACATTGAAGCTAAAAAAATTCTATACAATATTCCATCATTCTTGAAAAGAGAACATGCACACATTCCGCAAAAACAATGCCAAGATTTATATAAACCTGCCTGTGCCGAACAAATTTCGGCGGCCATCTTTCTTCTCTTCCACTTTGAATAAAGAAAATTCTATTTTCATCAAACAACATAAAAAATAATAATTATAAAACAATTGAAAACAGTTGATTTATTTTTTGTTTGAATCTTCGTCTGAAATTTGTTCAAATCGTTTCATAATGGCCGCTGCCGAAACATCGATCTCGAACCCACCTCCTAAACATACGTCAGCTGGTGGGTTTGAGATTGAACGTACCTCCTCGTATCCAATAGGAAAGCCGCTAATACTCTAAATCAGCAAACGAAAACATTCTGTTACATCTCGATTCATTTGAAAAGCCATAGCCTATATACACTACTCGTACACTGTTTTCTCGTGTTTGGAATTTCCGGTGAAGCACTCGTTCTCGTTATTCATAATATATTACATCAAATTTGGGAACAACATTGATATTATATTTGCGCAAGGTTTAGCACGAGTTTCATCATATTTGCAATATACATATAATTGCTGTCCTGTAGGAAAGCATGGAGGTAAATATGATAAATCATCATTTTTGCTGAACATATAGTGCTAAATTCTCATGTGGTTAATTGCATAATTATTATAATATTATAATAATTGCATAATTATTATCACCAAAATGAAAGTGATTTTATTGCATTCGAAAGTCTTATATCGCAAAAAAAAGTAATCCAACTCTGGATTGCGTTTTCGTGCATTATATATTCCGTTTATCTATATACCTTTTTCATACCAACAAGACGCCTCCTCAGGCGACAAGAACACAAAACATGAACCGCAAACGCAAAGTGTGAACGGCTGAAAGCGTGGCGTGATGAAACATAAGTATTACTCACAAATACATGACTACAGAGCCTCGTTTTCATGATTGAGGTATGCTTTCAACCAGTATCGACGCTACCGGTCAGGCTAGTCATACTCAACGTGGCAAACGTTTTCCCTCAAAGTCATTAAATCAGTTTAGTCATGCTCAAGATAGTTACACGTTATCTTGCTTCATGTGTTTGCTTTTTACTCTATATTTGTTCGTGAACGTAAAATCAATTGTCCCTTTACAGTTTTATACATTGAAAATACGAGAATGACACGATAGTCTTTGCTGGCTTGTATTGTTGATTTTAGGCTAATTTCGATTCGCATGATCAAACTAATAATCTCTCATATAATACCTCATAATACCTCAATGATTTTCCCAAGTAGATCTTAGATCCCAAACATTCCAACCAGTAGTACGAAATTCCCCTGCTGTCGCAAGAAAGAAGTGTATAAACGAAAATCCATCACGGTTCTCCGGTATTCCGATCATAGACTGTCGAAACGGACCAATGCGGATAGTTTCCATACCACGAAATATCATCACATTCCTCACGACGCATCCTTAAGATCATGTCATCGCCTGCGGCAGAGTTCCTCATTCGCGGGCATCACCTTCGGAAGACAAAAGCAAAGATAAAGTATAATCGGTTCCTCTTCGATCATGTTTTTTATTTACTGCTGAACTTTGCATACGCGCCGTTAGGGGATGTCGATTCTGTGACCCGGTCTCCGATTTCCGATTTCCGGACGGGGTGCCGGTAGCCTGTGAACAGGCTCTCAAGCTGAATTGAGAGCCTGCATCGATGACTAATGAATTTTAATATCTGCGTCTCAAATCGTGACGCGAAATTCTCATTGGTCAGATGCTATAATTTATATGTTTTTTTCGCTGAGCTCTATTTATGTCAACTGCTGAAGCACTATGCATAGAAAACACATTAACTGATCAAATTGGTCTTGGCCGTCTTATCTCAAAGCACAAAATGTTCTGTTTTGAGAAAACAGTATTTAAAACACTTGAACTTTTTCTTGAATATCTTATATTTCGAAAAACAGTATAAACTGTACGGTCTAAATTTAGTTTGCACGGTCTAAATTTAGTTTGCACGAAAGTTGTAAACAACACCATATAAGGATAGACATTCCATATTTGGAAAAACGAACGTTACGGGGCAGATATTCAAATTCATTAGTCATCGATGCAGGCTCTCAATTCAGCCACAGATTAAGTATATACCAGATGCGTAACTTAATAGGAATTCGTGTCCTCAAATTTCCCTAGATGTACACGTCATGCTCACGCCATGACACTTGCTAGGAAGATGGCGTCCTGGAAAACAAGAACTTTTGCATTTTATTGCG